TATGATAATGGGAGGGGTCCCCTGTCCTGCAGAAATCTGTTCATACTTGATTTCCTCCTGCAGTGCTGTCTTAAAGAGCCGTAGGAGCAGGTACTCCTCTCGCTGGTTGGATGCGTAGTTGTACAGTGTGAAGATTACAGAGTCCATGAACTTGGTGGACTTGTTCTGGGGCATCTGAAAAATCAGCTTCGCCAGATAGGTGGGGTTGGTCTGAAATAAAACCAAGGGATAAATCATTTCTAGATAACACAAAGGCTGGCACAAACAATCCAGACTTTTCAGTTTCAAGGATTAGAAGGTACCTGAGTAATAAAGAAAAACAGGACAGCCCTTTGCTCACCCCTCAGTGGAAATAAGAAAGACTTCTGCAAAGATCTATGTGCAAGGTTTTCTTGTGGAAAAGTAAATTAACTAAACTTTACAACACTAATGCCAGGAGCCACTCACCTGCAGTAAATAAAACAGGTGTTGATAAGCTTCCAACTTTTCTCTCTTTTCCTTGCTCAAAGCCTTGAGCCCCCCCTTCTGTTTATTTAGCATCATCATATCAGACAACTGTTCCTTATTTTTTTGGTAAGTTTTTTACTGTGAGAAACCACATCCTGGAAACAAACACATATACAAAAATCAAAAAGCCTTCAAGGTGAAACTCTGGCCATCATGGAAAGTTCTTTTAGCACCTAAAAACTTTCATGAAGGTCTACTGCACTGGCTCCCCATCAAACATTTCAGAATCACTATACTATGTCTTATTTTCAGTACACCAATCAAATCCATTCCTACTTCCATCTTCCTATGAAGAATCTGAACCATAAAAATGTCCAATGATTTAGAAAACTAACTTCTAGGAATCTATCTTACAAACAAAGTCTTAAGTACAGTAAAAGCTACATACACATTGAAATATTAATTACATTGTTATTTGGTAATAATAAAAATTTGGAAATGTCAAATAGTTGAGGGAAGAAGGAGGTAAATCATAGAATATTTTCTGATGAATTATTACACTGCCATTAAAAATATATTTATGACTACTTATCATATGGAAAGTATCTTATCCTCTGTGGTAAGTAAAAATGTAGGACACAAAATGACTGTTGGGATAGTGGAATTATGGGATGATTTTTACCTTCTTTTCTCTATTTAAAATTTTGCGTTTAAATCATTTCATTTCTTATTTAACTTTTTAAAAATTTATGACTTTAGCTGAGAAGAAAGTGAGCCCCCCCCCACAAGTCATAAGGGGGGAGACAGGAGTACCAAGCAGGACAAAGTGCCCCAAGGCCCTGCAGGCACTGGACCATACCTGCAGTGTAATTTTGTTTTTCACTAGCAGTCCAATTTTGATGTCCATGAGATTGAGGTCATTCTCCAGCTGTTGGTTAGAACGAATGAGGGTAATGACCTCTTCCCGCATCTTCATAAGATCAAGCTCCTCCTGAAAATCCTGGTCACTTTGGTCGAGCAGGTGGACAAATTTTCGGACCACAATCATAGGGGGATCCTCAGCATTGACTGACAGAAAGAAAGCATGTGTCAGACAAAGAATGGAATTTCCAGAAGTTCTACGTCTTGGCAAACATCAGTAATGTCTTGAAAAAACAGCTCCATTCACACATTAAGGTTATTTGTTTATTTCTGAGATGTGCAAAGACAACCACCAAGTGCAGTCTTCTGGGTCATGCGATCACTATGTTGTTATGTGGAAGGCTCACACGGCAAGCAACAAGACATCTGTTAGCAAAGGGGTTTAAGTCACAAGCAGCACCCTACCCGCCAAGCCTTGCCTGCAGGACAAGAAAAGAGATCCGTGGAGAATACCCAGAACCTGACGGCTCTCAACCACTGCCTCAACTCTTCTCTGCTGAGCCACAGTTACTCACTGAGAGTCTTGTAGTCATCACGAGCTTTGTTTGCCCGAATAAAAGCCTGGATTTTGATAATGTCATTTATCTAAAAGAACAAAAAAGAAGAAACTCCTTTGTTCATTTGTCCACCACAAATACAGCAAAACTGACTCTACTGGTCCTTACTACCCAGGAGTACTTACATGGTCTCGGAAATACTGCAGCCGGTCTCTATAGCGCTTTCTAGCTTGATGCATCCTTGCCAGGGACTGAATCTGTGGAAAAGGAAGAGGGATCCTTGAAATGAGAAGAGCCCTTCATCTCAACACATACCAGACTCACGTCCCCCACTGAGAAACCCTGCTCGGGCTACATACCTTTACAACTTCATCTTTATGGGAGCGCAGGTAAGCTAAGCGATCCTGATACGCCTTCCTCTGCTTGTATCCTCTCCACTGTGACTGAAACCATCAAATATTATAGTCGACACATTATTTTCCAAGGGTTAGAGGAAGTTAAAAAAAAATCTCATCTTGGGAGGAGGGTATAGGCTCAGTGGTAGAGTGTGTGCTTAACACGCACAAGGTCCCGGGTTCAATCCCCAGTGCCTCCGTTAAAATAAAAATAAATAAACCTAATTATCCCCCTCTCCCCTACAAAAAAAAAACTCCAAAATCTCATCCTGATATATTATCCAAGTGCAATTCATCATGCAGCTTTAAAAAGGACCACATCTATCAGTGACGGGAAGGAGGGCCTGGGCTGTAAATCCACCAGGAGAGCACACTGGTCAACTTCCACTTCCCTGACGTTAGCAGAGCACTTTACACCTTTGAAAGTGCATCCACACAGATTCTCTTACGGGTTCCTCACAACAAATCAGGTGAAAAAGATAAATATTAGTATCTCCACTTACAGATAAGGAAACAAACTTAGAGAGGTTCCCCACTACCCGGCAGTGGTGGAGCCATAATTCTTAACTCAGAATTCTTTCCGTGGCACTGTGCTACCCTGTCACTGAAGCAAAATCACAGTTGTTTCCCTTGACATTCAAATCCACACAAGGGAACAGTCTTAGAAGACAATGAGGTGTCCGAGAAGAAGTGCCACTGAGCTGGGCAGCTGGGCAGCTCACCACTAAACACCATTAAGCACTCTGTTTACAGTGGCAGCAGACGAATTGCTCGTCAGAAGAAGGATGAGGCTAAGAGGTCAGAAGGCAAAAAACACTCAGATGTTGGACTGTAGGAGCTGACTGTTTATTACCCCTGCTCTGGAGGCCCACGTGCTGTCTTAGGCTCTGAAATACCTGAATGCAGGTGATGGCAGGGACTTGTTTCTTCAGGAAATTCATCCGGGATCGGAATTCCTGTCGAACTAAGTATCCCCGGCAGCAGGCCTGTAGCTTGGTGACCAAGCCTTCGTTGGCCAGCCAAAGCTGCTCTCGGTTGTACGCGGCAGTCACCCCTGAGATGGAACTCTGAAGAAGCATTTGGTGACGAGAGAAGATATACAAAGGTGAGAATGGACACAAATTTTAACACAGTATCATCCACAGCATGCAAAGTAACCCTCACTGTTTTCTACACCTTCACTAGACCTTCAGCCAAGAAACAGGAATGAAGACTTCAGATCTATTTTTCAAGGCCAAGATGTTCTCACATCCCCCCAAAAGTCATAAGCAAAAACCTGATCTTTTACTTCATATGTTATTTCCTTTACTCACTCACCTACCCAACACTGACTGTGTCAGGAACTGTGCTTGCTGATCTGGGGTCACTGTTGACAAGAAGACAGAGTGACAGGTGCCAATACCAAGGCCCAGAGTCCCTAGAATGCCACAGCGGACACACTGCAGGGGAGGGCCAGACTGCAAATGGTCTTGAGAAGTAACCTAGAGTGTTTGGACTCCAGTTACTACAGGCACTGGAGAACCAGAGCCAGCAAACTTTCAAACAGGAATAAAACCATCAGATTTCTTTTTAGAGATGCAGCACTGTTAGCAGAGTAGCTCTGAGCCAGGGATAGGCCATGTGATGTAAGCACAAGTAGCGTGGTAAGATCTCTAGGAAAACTCTTTGAGAGACAGACAGCTGGTATCATGCCTGTTTTGCTCTTCTTCCCATCTTCCTACACCCTGCCTGCTATCCTTCTGGATTACAAGGTGATCCTGAGAATGGAAGCCACATGCTAAGAATTGCAGAGCAGAAAGACAGAAGGACCTGGGGACAGATGACACTGGGGAGCCACCACACCTTCCCTGGACTGCTCAACTCCAGAATAATTCTATGAGTTAAAAATACACCCTTATATACTATTTCAGCCGTGGTTTTTCCATTGAACTGTTGAGGTGTCTGCTGGGCACCTAAACTATAAGTGGAAAGGCAAACCTGGTCGTGGTAAAAAAAGAACTAAAGTCTGGAGGAACAAGATTTAGGATTTGCAAGCACACAGGTGAGAACTGGCGCCACAGGCTTGAATGAGATCACTCAGTAAGACTGTTTAGAAGAAGAGAAGGTGCCAGTGAGATCTTAATATAATTCAAGGAGGTACAGAAAAGGAAAGTAGTGAGAGATTAAGAAGGGACACTCAGAAGTAGAACCAGAAGAGAATGGCACCAGAGAAGCCAAAGAGTTGAGAGTTTAAGGAAGAGAACACAGTGAGAAGTCAGTTATGATGAGATCCCCTAACTGAATTTGGCAATTAAAAAGTTACTGATAAATTCTAAAATAAGAGTTTTATTAAAGTAAAAGCTGGATAATGCGGGGCAGACTAATTTCAAGGCACTTAGCAAGAACAGAGTATGAACTTATAGGCAAGGCAAAATCAGAAAAGTTCTACAGGCTTACAATTTTTCCTTTCTTTAAGACGAGGGAGACATGATATGTATGTAGGCTGATGCTTAAAAGTATATTCTTGGACCAGCAGCATCAGCATCACCTAGGGACTGGTCTGAAATGCAGACTCTCAGGCCCACAGAATCACTCTTCACTTTACAAGGTTCCCAGGTGATTCATGTACACACTAAATTCTGAAAAGCACTGATCAGCTTACATATTAGAATAATAGAAAAAAATGAGAGGAGGTGGAGTACGAGCTCTGCAAGGAACTGGGAGAGAATGAAATAAGGAGACAAGATGAATGATAAATTTAGGATAAATTTTTTTTGGGGGGGGGAGGAAATGATGAAGGAGGCAGTGAAAATCCAGACTCAGCGAAAGGAAGGAAAAAGGAGAGAAGGAGAACCAATTTGATGGTCACGTTTCTTTTATTTTTATTTTTAGAGAAGTAGGAGGAGGTTAGGTAATGTGCTGTTTAAAATTCTTAGGGCCACATGCAAAACACTAAGTATGAGTGTCTCTGTAGAAGCTAGTAAGACTCTCAAAGGTGTTCATGACCCAAAGAGTTAAAAATCACCCTGCTGGAAGATGCAGCCTGGCTTCCTAAACGTGGCCGGTCAGGTCTGAGCCTCTCTGCTCTGCCTCCTCCTCTGCACACCATCAACAGGACCACTTGATCTCCCTTCAGTGGCCCACATTCCTCTAGCCCTTGGTGCCTTTCCCACATTGTCCTCTCTGTTCAGAATAGCCTTCCGCCTTTTTCCCACCTGCTAAAGTGTTATCTGTGCTTTCTTTCTCCAGGACAGAATTAACTGCTTCCCTAACATTTCCTCTGTTTTACTGTTCCGAGAGCATCTGTTTCTCTCTGGCTTACACTGCGGTACTCTGTGCCTGCTGTTCTCACCACAACACCGTGAACTGGGAGGCAGATTCTTTGATACATCTTTACATCCCCTCAACACCCAACACAGAGTTCACTGAGTTTACTTAAATGTAATCACTTGTGAAACCATTAGCAGTAACGATGAAACACTAGGGAAGTAAGAGACTATAATTTCCCAAAAAGGCCAATTTTATACTCAGGATAGAAACTCATCCCTCTGATCGGTAAGTTCTGAATAAAGAGACTGCTTCACTTTTTACATATGTGTATATTCCATATGTTCTAAGGACTTGGGAAATAATGCCCAATGGAAGCAGATGACCTTTTAGAAGTCCTGTACTGTCCTTTCTCACTAAGAATCTTTGTGCCTGTTCATAATGTGTCTTATCATGACCTACAGGAGCTTATTGAACAGCTTCCCTCAATATATTTTCCTCTCCTTTAATGTTCATTAGACAACTCCAGTTTAATGAACATGAGCTCAGCGCCATTTAACACTGAAAGTGCTCAATAGCCCATCAAGGACAAGATAGTTGGCCATTACATACAAGATTGCAAACTTACTAGCTCACCTTACAGACTAGCAGTGGGCATAAAACAAGTACAGACATGACTGAAATTCAAATCCAAGGTGGTTAAATTCTGAATGAATACAAGACTATGAGGATTGAGAGGGGAAGGAAAAGGAATTTTAAGAAGATTCATCAAGGCAGTGACATCTGACATGGGTATGTCTGGAAGAATAGAATTTTGACAGATGTAGATGGCAGGGGAGGGACATCTCATGACAGCAGGGACTTTGTTTTGTTCATGACTATATCTCCATTGCTTAGAAGGGTGTCTGGTACATTTAAGGAGGCCTTCAGAAACTGCTGAATGATGAAATTCCAGTAAAAATGAACAGCATAAGCAAAGACACAGGGAATGGGAAAAAAACACTTAAAAACAGCTATAAAAATGCTAACTTCATGTGAATTGTAGGTTATATTCTAATACAGTACAGTTTGGAGTTTGTGGAATAGTCAGAAAAGGGATTAAAAATGTAAATTGGGAAGATTAATAGTAGTTGCATTTAATGAGTCAGTGCAATATTCAGTTTTTCGTCTTTGCTGGATCATCCAAATTTTTTAATAAGCATACAATTTATCTGACTTAATTTTATAATCCATTTGTCTTACTAATTTGAGCCTCAGGCACTCCCACAAGAAAAAAATTACTCCAAATTAGTTTGTTATGTAGCTTTAGTTTTAGTCTAGAGCTCCTGACCACATGCCCTGTTCTTCCTAATATTAGCTCTAAAATACAGATACTTTCTCTCAGCTTCTTCTTTTGTGGAAAAAATGTGACCTACCTGGATCTCCTCCCGAGAAAGCTGCACAGAATTTTGCACAAAGTCTGGGGGTTCATCCCATCCTCCTTCCTGGGTCTCCAGATTGTGGTAATAATGATATCCACCTTTCACCCAGTGCTTCACCCATCTGCTGCTGTTATCTCCTGACAGAAAAGAAAGGAAAGATAAAAGAAACCCAGAGCCACGTTCCCCACATTCATACGTCTAATATTACAAGATTGTTCCAGTCGGGTTTAACAACCTAAATAAAGACCATTCCAAAAACCTATTCCTTGGGTCTGTGAGAGTAAAGGGACATTCTAAGTCCCTCAAATCATGACTTCATAGTATCTCATTTAGTCATTCGTATTTATGATATAAAAAGAAAATACCTATGGACTCCAAACAGGAAAATTAACCTTGACTACCTTGGTTCCTTCCAAAGCCTGTTCCTAAGTAAGAGCCTGTATGTCAGGAAACTATTCTGATAAAAGACTTACAACCATTTGGCCTCTCTAGTTAATAAAACAAAGGCCATGAAATAGGATGAAAAATCTTATTTTTTCCCCTTCTTGCAGATAAACTACTTCTAACTATTTATAGGCTTAGGTAATCAGAACTACAGATACCCTATACCAAATAAGCAGTCAAATATTTTGACCCTTCCCGCATTTTCAGAAAATTGACCCTTTTAACATAGCTGCCCTCAAGGGGGAAAAAAGAATGTTTTCAAAACTTTGAAAAAACTTTTCAAAAAAAACAAAAACAACAACAACAACAACAAAACAGGACTATTATCTCCTTGGGTCTTTAAAATAAGACTAATACTGTTCTTCTGAAGTACTTCCCCCCAGCTTGTCCCATCGTACGTTCAAGTTCTTACTTTCAGGACACTTATTTATTTACCCGTAACTCACCTGCTGCCAGTTTTTTCTTCTTGGCTTCAGCAAGATCACTCTGGTAAGTCTCACCACATTCAGGGATGACTCCATACAAGCCGACATCAGGGGAACGAAGGGCACTCAGCATTTTGCCAACATCGCCGCTCTCTACTGCTTCATTAATGGCAAAAATTCCTAAGGCAACTATCCCAGAAGAGAACTGTTACTGGAATAGTTCAGAAAGTGTCTAGACTCACCTACTGGCAAACTGTTCCCGCCAACATCTCTCTGTCTTGGTCAGGTTGAGTTCTGAGATGGAGCACCTTGCCACCCCCACTCTCCACCAAAACAAATAAAACTGACACGTACACCTCTGTGCCTCTTGTGTGTCTTTGTTGGACTGACAGATTCCACCTTGGATTTCATCCAACCACAACACAGCTGACTCATCCTGGGTCTCCTGCACACCATTGAAAGCAAAACAACATTAGAGTCATGAAATCAGAGTACATATCGTGATGGGGCTTCTCAGACAATTAGATACAGAGGAAGAAGTTTCAAATATACAAGACACACGGAAAAGTCAAATGGAAGAAGCCAGGCATCAAAATACCAGTAAGAGGTTACAAGAGAAATGCCTTGGATGTAGGTGATGGATATATGAAGATAAATTAGTCACTCAGGAGGTCAAGAGCGGCCAGAAAGGGCAAAAGGACCACACTGGGAAGGGGCCCAGGGATTTAAATATTGTGACGAAAACCACAGTATGTATATGAATATGCAGTACTTTTTAGAAAACCTCCTTGCCAACAATACTCAGAGGAAGTTAATATTCTCTATTGACTACCATTTTTAAGACTCTCAAGACTTCATCACATGTAAAGCCAGGAGTCACTATAGGCAATCTAAACTTACTACCAGCTTCTATTCTAAAACTTGAGTGTTAAATCAGTTGTTGGAAATTTAAAAACATATTTTCACACAGAAACATAATAAATAGTGCTTAGTTTCCTCAATATGGCCAACAAAGCCTCTCTACTCCACAGTGTAGTTTGAGTTGAATACTAGGGACAGAGGTGAAATAGAAGTGGAGTCTTTTTCTCCAGAAAAGGTGAGGCACCTCAGGTGTTAAAGTAACCAGGTTGCGAGAGTCATGTTTGAAGAAATCCTGGCAGACCCAACAAAAGTAACTACTCCTAAGGCTTGAGCTAAGAGCAGTTGGGATAAATAGCAGCTCAAAAATCCATCAAGACTACCTGATGTAAATATAATTTACCAAAGTACCAATGAGGTATCTGGGGTCAGTAACTATAACCATGTTGCCAGATGTAGAAGGGTCTGGGCTCTGAGGCAAAATGGAAAGTTTCCGTGCCTTCAGCAGGCCCAGGAGTTGAACTTGTAAAACCTTAGAGGAGGCTTGGCTTTCTTCCTGCATTACTTAGGGAAGAGACACAATATGTCACTCAGCAAAGCTAAGCAGTCACAGATCCCTGCAATATATAAAGCATGGTGGCGACAGGATAAGGCCAAAGGAAGGCATCTGAAATCGAACCAGTGATTTCTCCCTAGAAAGAAAGATGTTTTAACTAAATTAATTATAAGTGCTGGGGTTACAGTAGTAAGGGGCACTATCCCAATTTAAGAAGTTCACAGTCTTGAGAAAGGAAAGGAGTAACCAGATAAAGAGAATGCAAGACCAAGTCACCTACTAGCAGGAGAACTTAGCACTTTCCTACCAATGGTCACTTTCTGTTACTAAAAATAGAACATGGCTGCACACAATCCCTAGAGTCCTATGAATAATTACTGGAAATGTTAAGAAATAGTTTCAATATGAGACAATACAATGAGTCAGCCACAGCTTTGCGACAACTTAAACTGAGAGTCATAAGCTAGAGGGCTGAAGGTGCAGTCTCTAAGAGAAGTGGCATAAACATCCTTGTACCCTAAAAACAGAACCAGGCCGTATTTAGTTCACTTTAAGGCCAGTCACACATTAGATATCTCTAAGCTGAATCTATAATAAGCAAAGCTGGGAGGCTTGGCACAACCTTCCTTGCATCCAGAGAAAGGCATAGCTTATCAAGAACTCTAACCATTCAGAGTTCTGTCTTCTCTGCCCCATACAGACTACAGCAAAAAGATTAAAACAAAACCTTCCATACATTCTCCCCTAAGAAACAAGCGACAGAACTGTGGTATGAAAGACAAAAAAAAAAAAAAAAGACAATGGATCAGGGTCTCAGGTGTGTCAGGGAAATATGATTTCCTCTTCACCAGACTGAAGAAGGAAAGGTAGACGACATACATCGTCTCATTCCAGTGTAAGGGAAGAACAGGTTCTCTCTGCTCCAATTAGATCTAAGAAGATGACAAAAGCCAACATCCTCCTGTGAAAGTTTGCTCTAAAGATCAACTCAAATCACTTAGTAGGGAGTTAAAACTCTGAATGAGATACATAAGAGAATATTGAGATAAAACAGATTTAATATGAAAATCCTTTATAAAATATACTGAAATAATGTCCCCTAACAATACTGACACTTAGAAGCACATCAACTGCATTTTAGAAGAGGCAAAGAGATAGGGACCAGAAATAAGAATCAAAGAGGAGTGGGCAATGATTGGAGATAAAAGAGGTGGAGGAGCCACAAGATACAAGGAAGGGAAATGGAGAAGAGATGGAAGAATGGCCCTTATGTGTGTGCATATATATGGGAAGCACATGCACACACACACCAGTAAAGGGCACTTCTCACCCCTTAAAACTCTCTTAAAAGTGTCTCCAGTTATACGTGGCATGGATGCCTGTGTGACGATGAATATTACACATATGTAATGCATGTGTAAGTATTATATATATCTGTGTATTAGAAATTTAGTACATATATGTATAATATAAATGAAATGTTTTATCTCTCATCACATACATACACATGCAAACCATGCCATATATACATGTAAAACACACATACATGAATCTATACAACATATATTTATCAACACAAGCACTGATCAAACAGAGTGGAGCAGAGATCTTATGGCCCCTTCTTGGTTTAGGCATTAATCCTTTAGCTGCAGCATAGTGGAAGTTCAGGGAGAGCTAGAACTGTGGGTGGCACAGATTTGGGAGGACCGGGACTGCACCAATGTACCAAACAAAAGTATTTGAGTAGTCTAACAACTGGTACAGCTATGCCAGTACATATGAGCTGATTTTTAGCGACATGCATGTATGCATGTCAGTGTACACAGACACTGCGAGGTGGGGGAAGAAAAGAGAGACTTAAAAATCATTCATATTTCTAATTATAACATGGGTTCCTTGAGAATCCCTGATGTCCATGCCTTGGCATTCAGACAATATGACCCAATGACCAGTAATCTACTTTTTAGTATTTCAAAGGCACTAAATTTAAATAGAGATGTGACAACAGTGAAAATGGTAGAGGAAGGTCCTCTGAAAATCCCCTCCTACATAAAAGCAACAAAAACACTGACAAAAATCATCAGAATCAACTTTTCAAAACAACAGAAATTAACCAAACACTTGCAGCAATCAAAGAGAGTTTATTCAAGAAAAACAGTTGAACTCAGTAAGGACAGTGAGCTTTGTGGCACTTTAAATCGCCCTATTCTCTCCTGTGTTCTGTCCCCCCTCCCTCTACCCCATACACATCTACCTCCTTCAAAGCCCTATCTATTCACAGAGAACAGCCTTTAGTTGACCTGTTAGGTAGTTCCTTGGAAGACCACAGCTAGGCTGTCTTTATTTGACCTGACTTAGAGCTTGCCCAGTGCAAACAGCTTTTTCTCCAGGGGCATTTGTCCAAAACAGTAAGAGGTAATTTTTTCACATCACAGATGTCTGAGGCCGTGGATAAAAATTTAGGCAAATAATAGGCTAACCAAAAAGCATAAAAGGAAAAGCTAGAGAATGATATGTCCACAGAGATCTTTGAAAAGCTCTGAAAAATTCCTGGGATGGGAATCTAGAAAGCCAAAGTGTATGTGTGGGCTGTGTATATGCTCAGAAAAAACCTGATAAGGCTGTAAGCTCTCAGCTCTGGCTGACCTTAAGGCTCTGGGCAAGCATGAAGTGAAGGAAAGCAAAATTGTTAACGGCCTGGCTGAGTGCTGAAGGCATGCCCCAACACACACAAAAGCCCTCAGCAAAGGCTGGGAGCTTTACTGGTTCTAGGCATTTAAGAAAATTTCTGTCTAATCATTAACTGACCATTAGTAACCAAGCAGAGACTTCAGTGGACACACAAGAATCTAGATTTCCAGAGTTGCCCCATTATATATTATTAAAATGTCCAGATTTTAAATTACAAGATATGCAAAGAAACAAGAAAGCAAGGTCCAAACAGGAAAAAAGCAAACAACAGAAATCACCCAGATTGAACTTAGTAATAAAAACAAACCAGTTACCTTAAATATATTCAAATAACTAAAGGAAACCATATCTAAAGAACTAAAGGAAAGTATGAGAACATCTCACCAAATAGAGATGAGACTGACTGATTGATTTTAAAAGAAACCAGATTAAATTATGGAATTGAAAAATACAATGACTGAAATGCAAAATTCACTTGAGGGACTCAGCATATTTGAGCAAGGAGAAGAATCAGTAAACCTGAAGATAGGTCAATTCAAATGATGCAGTCTGAAGAACAGTATCCAGTCTAAGGAACAGCAAAGAAAAGGAAAGAAGAAACATGAACAAAGCCCCAGAAACCTGTGGACACCATCAATAACACTAATATATGCACAATGGAATTCTCAGAAGGTAAGGAGAAAGAGAAAGAGGTATTTTACTTGAAGAAGATCTGAACAGACCTATAACAAATATAGATAGAGATGGACTCATAATCAAAACATAGTCCTACAAAAACAAAAGAAAACCAAAAATGCAGGACCATATCATACGGCTTCACTGGTGAATGCTACCAAATGTTTAAAGAAGAACGAATATCAATTCTTTATAAACTCTCCTGAAACATAAAAGAGGAAGGAACACTTCCCCATTCATTCTATGAGGCTTTCATTACCCTGATACCAAAACCAGACATGAAGATATTATAAGAAAAACAGGCCAAATTTAAGTTAAGATATTTTGCTCGCTAAATTTGGAACTCAGCTGATTATTTTTAAAACTACTCCCAAGAGAAACTTAGAAGTTGAGCTGAAGCTTAAAAAAAGACAGTTACACCTAAACTGCAGTC